AAAACGCATACCGAACATGGCGACACTGGCAGTTAAGCTGCCGCGAAAAGCTTGCAACTTACCTGGATCTTCATTTAGCAGCACAATGTCGTCTGCATACTCTAGATTAGACAGTGCCTCCTGGCAGCAAATGGATGCCACTATCATTGCACGAGGGTAGGGCTGGCTCCATAATCAAATCTATAACAAAGTTAACTAGGAAAGGAGAGAGAGAGCAACTCTGTCGAACACCACTTTCCGTGGTGAACTCGGGTGAAAAGCGTCCTAAGCTCGGACTCGACTTTGGTGATTAGTATAGATGGGTTGTAATATACAAAAATACTTCTCGGGTACACCATACAGAACGAGTTTAGAGCGGTCGACTGAGTCGAAGGCCGCTTTCAGAACAAAGAAGACAGAGATAATGGGTCTACAATAAGAATGTCGGTGCTCCAGAATTTGGCGAAGGCTGAAGATGTGGTCGATACAACCTCGGCCATGTATAAAACCAGCAGGGTTCTCACGCGTGCACCGTTCACGTGCGGCAGACAATCGTCGGAGTATAATGCCGGCGAGAAGCTTAGAGGCAATGTTGAATAAACTAGTTCCTCTGTGGTTTCCACATGAGGATATGTCACCTTTCTTACAAATCGGTAAGATGACCGATTCATACCATTCGGTTGTAAGCAGTTACCTTTCCCATAATGAGCCCAGGAGTTTCGTCAACTCCAAGCTTAACGCCGAGCCTCCTTAAACACCGATGAGGACAGCCCATCTGGCTTTATCCCTTTTGAGATAACTTATTCCCCGGGAAACCTCCATTTCAGATTCACAGGCGCTGACCAGTGAGAGCGGCGGTCTAGAATCGAGCCCCTCCAGCGATAACTGATGGTGATGTGATCAATTTGGGTCCAGCGCTGCGGAGAGGTTGGCGGTTGGTGTCGTTTCTTGTTACAAGTAACCCTCGGCAGCTGGTAAATTTGGGTTTTTTTTACTGTTCCTTCTGCTACGTTGCATTTTGAATCAATAATGAACAAAGATAGCATTTTGTTTACTCTCTTCCATCGGACATGTAAAACTAACCGACACATATACAGCACAATGGGTTATTAAATAGTAGTGAATGAACTTGTAGAGATGGACATTGAAAGTTAGAAACGAAAGGTCGAATCCATGACAAGCGAACTGATAGTGTCAACATCTTTTTGGTGCACAAAGCAGCATGATTTGAAAGACCTCACTAATTGTTAAAATCTTTGCATTGCTACTACGTGATAGCGGTTCAAAAACGGAAGCGTGATTAATTACATCCTTGGTTGTTACAAGACGTTTTGCAAAAGATGACCCTATGTGCCTTCTGGTGGCTGGAAGACCCGAGTGTAAGTTGTCACCGCAATTGTAAGCGAACCAGTATACAGCGTGAAACAGAATATGCAAGTTCGAATCAGCGCTGCGGATAGAAGCAATAAACCGAAATTGAGCAGCTTCTTCTTTGAAGCGATTATTGCGTAACCGCAACGCAAAGCTTTCAGCCGTGGATTCAA